TACTTAGATAATTACCATCATACTTTTTTTTTTTTTTTTTTTTTACTCAGTTAAAAATGACTTTTTAAGTGTCAATTATGAACTTTGATAATGAGAATTTTTTCTAGAAGAATGAACAGAACTAATAATAATACATGATTAATTGTTTGTGACCTATAAAAAAAGTTTAAATTTTTGTTCACTCACAGTTTTGAATTCGAAGATTCCTCTAGATACACGCTTCCCATTTCAGATAGAGTAACAGAGCCTTTATAGGATAATAATAAGACCCATAAATATATAATGTATTAGTATATAATAATCTATTAGAATAAAGAAGTAACAGCATACATGTTTAAATAATTACCAAATTCACTAAGGGAACATGATGAATTTGTTGAGTCATGCGCATTAGGCTTGATAAATGGTGGGGGTCCTTTAAAATTCAAAGACATAAACATGTAAATAACTTTGTCAAAAATTCTTTTCTACTAATAAGAAAAATTCTCACGTAAACCTTCATCATAGGGATCTGTACCCAGTGGATTAAGTCCCGCCGGTAAGAAAGCAGGATAAGCTTGAGTGTTCAATTGAGCCAGTTTGTCACTTAGCGAAAGCTCATTACTTTGCTCTAGACTATTAGTCATTTCTTCTTCTAAAAATTCATTGGTATAATCATTATTCGGGTCTGCTGTGTGAATCATGACACTTCCCGGTAAATCTTGAGCGCCAGGTGATGAAGGATTTGATAAAGTTCGGGACAACGGCATAGTCAATGATGCAGCAGGGGTCGCGAATGAAGTTGTAGTGGATGATTCTATAGTAGACAGATTAGTTACAGGAAAACTATCTTGTCTGGGTGTCATTTGAGCAGGTTGCCTAGAAACGGGGTCAATGGTAGTAATTGTTGAAACGGAAGATGAAGTAGACAATGGTCGTCTAGAGAAAGTAGGAGATCCAGTCTGGGGAGGAGAAGGCGTAACTTGTGTCTGTTTCGCTATATAATACAAAATTAATAAAATCAATAAAAATCAAAAAAGAAATGATAAATTCTCAATAAGTATTA